ATTTTACGTGTAACCTCTTCTCTGCAGTAAATTATAACATCCGGAAATGGAAGGTTGAGAACAAACTTTTTCGTCTGATCCGTTATAGAAACACGCGTGATACCTTTTTTAACATCTTTATTATTAAATTCTATAAATCATTCTTTTCCTAATATCCCTATTCATTTTTTATGATCTTCTCTCTGAACGTGTACGTGTGCGTCTAGGAGCATGCCGGAAAGGAATTTCCGATTTTCTTTAAAAATATTTAATGGCTGAGAAGATCAAAAGTATGTATAAAGGGAAACCATATAGGAAACAAGCTGTTCAGTTTACAAGTTGCTCTTCATTAGAACATAAGTGATTAATTAACGAACTTGCAAATAAGAGTTTTGGAAAATTCAGGACAGGTGACGTTCATACATGTAATGAAATGAGAAGGACGAAGGAAGGACAAGAGCGGAGGGATGGTGTTTGATGTGGTCTGATTCGTAAAGTTTAACTGTAATCATAATAGAAAAAAACGTAATTATATATTTGTGAACCTTTGTTTGTAAATAATAAATTTATGTATTGAAATTGTAGCGATTTTTTTTCTGCTGTGTAAAGTTCTTTGGCAAATAAAAGCATAAGAATTAATATTAATACCCGTTACTAATTTTCTGTGATAAGCTCATTTCTTGGGCTATTAAACCGTCTGCATTAAAACAGAGTGATGATTATTTTTACTTGGAAATAAAATCCCAAGAGAGATTGGCGATGAGATTACAACGAACTAAAAAATAAATTAGCGAGCTGCATCAGTGTTTTAACGGTTTAGTAGCACCAAAGCTTGCGAAATAATTTGGAGCAGAAAATTTGCCCCCGATAATTTCGTTATGAAGGTTGGTATAGCTGAATAGTTTCTTGTGGTTGTTGGAAGATTGTTCGAATCGTTAAGTGTTGATATATACGTTTGAATCGTTAAGTGTTGGTATATACGTTTTTGAGCTAATCAATCATATATATATATATATATATATATATATATATATATATATATATATATATATACATATATATATATATATATATATATATATATGTGTGTGTGTGTGTGTGCGTGTATATATATATATATATTTATATAAAAATATATATATTTATATAAAAATATATATATATATATATATATATATATATATATATATATATATATATATATATATATATAATAGTTAGTGAGGGTTGTTGTACAGCCTCCCGTAGACCTCTGTTAAATTTACCCTTGGGCTGTATAGCCTCAAGAATTTTATAGCCTCATAATACACCCAGGGGCTGTATAGCCTCAATGGGAATTTTGCATAGGGACGATAGGATGACGTTTCGGTAATAGTAAAATTTTGTAAGTGGTTGACCAAAAAACGCGAAGTTACCTTCTATTTTCTCCAGTTCTTCCACGAGCTCTTTATATTTCCAATTATTACTTTCTTTTTTTTCCTTCTCTGGCATCCAGTCAGGATGTCCCATTTCTATGTTCCTCTCCATTGTGTACGTTTGTCATCAGACTTAGTTCCAGTGTTATCGACTTCTATAACTGCCCAGTACGACGTGGTCAAATGTCAAAGGGGAGTGAGTATAGTTGGAGATTGAGTTTAACTGCCTTGAAAAGTCATTTGCGAGCCACCGCAGTTAATATAATAGACATTATATAATATGGAACATATATGTAGTTCTGTGTGTGTATTTATAGTGAGGACATTGTAACCGACAAAAATTCGATGAATCGGAGATTTTGTTTAGTGGTTATTCTGAACATACGTCCATACATAGTAGTTAAATAAATATGAATACATACCCGATAGATGTATCCATGACAGAGAAATGGATTAAACATAAACAGATAGATACATGTATAAGTACACATATACCATATTTGCAAACATACAAATATAAATATATTTATACATGGAATAGCGATCAAGTGTTACCTGAAAGTGTTCGTCTTTTGTGAAAATTAGCTTCAAATTATAAAACATTTTGTGATGTTGTTGAAAGGCCTAATCTTATTTTACCAGTATTTTATAAAAGTTGCATTAATTTGAGGTTTTTTTTCACACCTGTCCTAAGCTCTTTAAAGGCGATGAAAGCTTTATGACATTAGAAAAATACCCATGAAAACTAAGCACAAAAGAAACAATATAAAAGACTTCATAACTGTTTTCGCCGCGTTCAGTAATGTCAAAAATTTAAATTTTGTTCTTCCTTTTATCTTGAATCAATCTTCATTCTATGTTAATGCTTATGTTTCTCGACTGATTTTGACGTAACTGCTTAAGATGGTCATGCTACAGTTGTAATGATTCATTTGCATGAATTCCCAATCATTAATTTGTCACAGGAAGAAACTTAATAAATCATAAACAATCATGCAAAAATTGTTTTTTTTTGCAGAAAACTCTTTGGAGATGCAAACAATGTCAGTCGATGGAAAGACTTATGCTCTTCCTGCAATGTTCACATAGATATATGCGTGAGTCTTGTGCAGAAGTAATGTGTGTCCAAAAGGTGAGCAGCAAATAAAAGGAAAAGTAAAAACTTGCATATCGTAGTAAGGATTTACATTCGGTGCAGCAATTCAAGTACCACTAAATATTCCAGAGAAAATGTGAACCAAAGAGCACGGGGAAGCGCACCACGAGATAAATAGTGTTATAATGATATAGGTGTTTTAATTCAATGGCATCAATGTATAAAGCCTAGTCTTAACAGAAAGTAAAAATGGTATAAAAAAGCAAGTAAGAAAAAAATATAGAAGAAAGAAACAAAAAGAAAAAATAGAAAACTATGCAAAATATTCACGAAATAATAATTAAAAATTTACCACAGCCACCCAACAACAAAAATTAAAAGAACTAAAACAGTCGGTTAGGTAGCTGGATCAAAATAGTGCAGTCCTTTTAATGCATTTGGAATAGAATTTATAATAAAACCAAACTGACAGAGAACATACGCTTCATGATTAAAATTATATTGTACTCAAGCACTTCTAAGAACCCACATACATGTTGACGGAAATCGTGGACACGTGATGTGTTTGATATTTTGTGCAGGATTTCAATGGATAATTTTGAACCAATAGAAGCAAAAAAAAGAAACATTTTTGCGAAAAGTCTACTATGGGAAATTTAAAAATTGCCAGAAAAGAAATTGGGAAGTTTACTATTTAAATCACTTATAAAACCTTTATGTCTTTCCTTAATAGCTGCAGCTATTGGTCATGTGGATAGAAACGATATTGAATTAAGGTGTATAGTGTACAGAAGCATTTTAGCAGTAAATTGTTTGTTTTTTTATTATCTACTCTAGGTTCATTAAATAATTCAATCCACCGTAAATACTTCTTTATTATATTACCTAATTTAGATTCGTGATATAAATCATCAGGTCATACAAATTTCTTTATTGAATTAGCAAATTTCAATTTGTGATAATAATCAACATGTCACAAGGTCGAATTTATTATATTATTAACCTTAGATTCATAACATAAATTAAAAGACGTCATTATTATACTATATCCTTGTGAGATCTTGCTATTATTTAATAAGCCATGCAGATTTCTCCATTATAATACACACTTTAGATGCATGATATATATCAATAGGCCAAACATAATTATTGTATTTTCCCCCCTTAGATGCATGACGTAAATCAATAGGTCACGTTTGACTGCTGATATAAATCAATAGGTCATAACTGTTCTTTATTTTATGATCCTATTTTAATTAATGATATAAATTAGTGGGCCATACAAATTTCTTTATTATATTATCTACGTTAGACGCCTGATAAAAATCAATATGTCTTTGTTATATCATCCACTTTAAAGTCATAATAGAAATCAATAGGTTATATATATATATATATATATATATATATATATATATATATATATATATATATATATATATATATATATATATATATATATATATTGCCAATTTCAGATTCATTATATCAATCAATAAGCCAAAGAGATTTCACTGTTATTAACTTTACATTCATGATATATATCAAGAAGCCATACAGATATCGCTTAATATTATCAGCCTTGGATTCATGAAAACAATTAATATATATAAATATTGGTGATTTTGCCAAACGTATCCATATGAAAATATAAAAGGACACATTAGTTTCTTAGAGTCAGGTATTATGTCATATCTGTGAAGTCTTCTTCTATTGAAAGTCGAGTGCTTGTTTTTGATATTCCTCTTCATTGTGGAAATTCGTTATCAGACTTGCTCTCAGGACACGTGACAGTCGGAGCATGGGATTTTCTGTCCATTGAAGGTATTCATTTATTACAGGGTAGTGACATAGCTGGTGACAAGGTTGTGGTTATCCACATGTAACTGATAACTTGTAACTTGTAACTGAAAAGCTTTGTTTCCATCAAAATGTTAACTATATTGACAATTTGATACCTAATTATACACTGCTTGTGCAGTTACTAGAATTATTGCAAAAATAATTATTCAGCACGAGTGTGTGTGATTTAGATTTTTAACTTAGCTTTAAAAAGTTTTCAGGGGCCCCGAGTGGCCGAATGGTCTAAAGCGCTGTCCATTACGGATCAACATCATTTCACCTCTGTTTGCGTGAGTTCGAGTCTAGGATTTGGATATGTGAGAAAGCTTGCCAGTAGCTTCTCGTGGGTCGGTGGTTCTTTCCGGTGATTTCCCGGTTTCTTCCTCCACCATTAATACTGGCCGCCATGAATAGCCTATCGTGTGCTGAAAAATGGCGTTAAGCCCAACAACAACAACAACAACAATTTTTCAGTCATATCGTTACGGTGTCTGCAGTGTGATAGTTTATAGTGATGTCTAGCACTGAGCATCATGCTGCAGACATGTGGCATGATGTCCTGCCCAGTCACATTATCCTGACACCAGGCCAACCAGTCCTAAGACTAACCTCCTAATGCTGAGAGCCAAGCGATGCAGCTGTTAGTAGCATTTTGTAAGTCTTTGGTATGACTCAGCCGGGGGATCGAACCCACGGCCTCCCACATCCGAGAGGGACACTCTAACCATTAGGCCATCGGAACGGTTTAACTATTCAGAATGAAGTTGATCAGGAAATTATTTGTTTAGCTGACATACTCATTGGCAAGTAATTTGATAAGATCACTTTTGCACCTGGTATTGATAAATCAAAAGGCATTGATCGCAGTGATCCTCTTTTTGCCACTTTCTCTAACTTTTAAACATGGTGACATGTGACAGCAATTGTTGAATAGGAACAAGATAGTGAGATATCATGTTTGGTTTGGAGGGTTATTAGCGAATATGAAGCTACGCAAGTACAAGTATTAATTTGTTTTTTTTTTAAATGGGGTTTATGGGAAAAGGAGAACATATGAGATACATTCTAGTGATGTCTGGCCAGTAAGCTATCAAATTGTTGTTCCTGAGTCGTATAGACAGGTTTGTATTTATGGCATCAAACTACATTGGCTGGTCATTTAGGAGTCATTCAGACTCATAATAAGATCTTGAATCACTTTGATTGGTCGAAAGTTAATAGCGATGTTATTAAAATTCAGTAGGTCTTTTGCATTTATCAAATGGCAGAAAATGCCTATCAAAAGATATATAAGGCTCACCGGCACCTTATTCTTGCACTTGACGAAACATTTAACAGAATAATGGTAGACTGCATGTGTCCGTCGTTTACTTAAGACCAAGTCAGGCAACAAATATTTGTCGAGTATAATGTCTTAAAGTTCTTTAGTGGTCCTTACCATGTGAAACAGATTTAAAGCATATCATTAACATGCATGGGAAGAGACAACATAAACAACAATATGTTAAAGGAGTATGTTGACAGAGATAGCTCTGCTACTTTCCCAGTCAGTTTAATGGTAATAAATGTTTTGCACAGTCAGGATTTAAACGATGGCATGTCAGTCAGACAGTAGTGACTTTAGTTTAAAAAGTCGTCGGAATTAGGAAATTTTAAAGACATTTGTCGAGAAACTTTCATATCCATGGCCACAACATAAGAAGAAATTAAAACAACTGTTATGTAGATATCAATATTTGTTTCTGGATGTTCCGATACGATCAAACAAAAATAAAATGTATCATCTTGAAATTGTAAATTCAATTTTTTTTGAAACATCGTCCTTGCAGAATGGATCTTCTCAAAAAGGAATATGTGAAAAAGGAAATTCAATATTTGCTGGAGAATGATTTCATTGAGCCAAATAAAAGTAATCTGAATTTGCCATGCATTCTTCTACGGAATCCAGATAACATTTTATATATTTACAATATCTATAGAAAAGTGAGCACTGTCCCCAAAACAGATTAATTTCCAATGCCAAGAGTCTGTGATTGCATAGATAACAGTGGAAATGCATAATATGCCACCATGTTCGACATTTAGGATTTTGGCAATTCCACTCACGGAAAGAGCAAAATAAATTTCTGCGTTCGCGTTTCCAAAAGTTGTCAATACAAAGTGATGCCATTTGGTATGAACAGTTATTTCTCAACACGTGGCTCTAACGAGTACATCGATGACGTCATCATATACAACGAGATCTGGAGCGATCATTTGGAGACCGTTCCGAAATTCTTTGATAGACTCAATAAAGTTGACAACGCATTTAAGTAAAATGAGTTTGGCCTTGTTTGTGTTACATTTGTTGGACATTTTATGGGACACAGTCAAGTTAAACCTGCAGCAGTTAAGGTTAAAGCTACCTCCTCTGAATTCCCGGTGCATAACAATAAAAAGCAATTAATGCGATTTTTGGGCATGGCTGGTTTTTATAGGAAAGATTAGTTCCAATATTTTTCCATAAATGCTAAGCACTTCAAAAATTTGCTGAGTACAAGAACCAAGTTTCATCGGTCTGACAAATGTGAGGCTTTTGATAAATCAAAGGGCACACTTAAGAGTGCAGCAGTTCCTCAGCTCCAGATATTAACCGATCATTTTAAATATCTATTGATGCAAGTGATGTTGGGATTGGTTGAGTATTGATTATAGAAGACAAAATGGCGTCGATGATCCAGTGTGTTATTACTCTCAAAAAGAAAGAATCACCAAAGAAATTATTGTACCATCGAGAAGTAGTGCTTGGCTTTAATATTTTCTTAGAAACATATTGAAGTGTATGTTAGGTCATCCCTTTCTCCAATTATTATGTTCGCTGATCACAACCCCCATACGTTCATTAACAAATTGAAAACAAGAATAAGAGATGGTAAAGATCGAGTTTGTTGTAGGACGAATACAACGTTGATATTAGCAAAATCAAGGGATATGAATCAAGATCGAATATGCAGTTTTACTGTTTATAAGAATGATATTATTTTTGTCGCATATATTTTGTGTCATTAGTAAAATATAATCCCATTTATAATATACTATTTATAATGTATTGTAAACCTTTGAGATATGATTGCAGATTGCAACGAACTATAAATTGGTGTCTAGGAGTTTTAAAATTACATTTTAATAATGAATATGTTTATAAGTTTGGAATAATTTCCCATTAGATGATTAACTCAAGTTGGGTTGCAACGTAGGTATGTATTGTGAAATAGTTCACGCGGTAGATATTGCAACATAGACCGAGTAGAAAAATAGTGCGGCTTAGAGCCATAAAGTATATAGCAAAGAAATGGACAATTAATTCATTCATATTTTTATGTTCTTGCTTTAAAATCAATCTTCTGACGTTTCTAACGTTGTGTGTATATTTAATTTGAAAGGCCACATTTTTTAAAAAAATTATTCAATTGAATCACAATTATTCATTCACTTTGGACTAACGTATTATTCTGGAATTATTGTGAATTCACATCAGCGTATTTAGTGTTATTAGGACAATAGCAGTGTAGAGGACCTGGAATTCGTTGAGAACACAACCTTTAGGATTACGTTTGGATTTAATTCGCAATACTTTAAATTCCTAATGTATTTTTATTTTATTGTTAAGAGAGCTAAATTAATTGCTACATTAACACAATATGTTGGTTTTGCTTTTTTTCTCTTGCGTAGTTTAAGATTATAGAGTCGTAGCAAACTTAATAAATGTATTGTAAATAATTAATAACTGCTAATTTAATGGCAGCTATTTAAATACATATGCGGGCACGTGAACCTGATTTGGTACGCATTAATTTCTTTTATATGAACGACCATTATTTTAATAACCACTTGTGTGAATGAATCTATGTTCCAGAAAGAATAATTGCACAGGATTGTGAGAAATGATAGCTTGGAGTTACTGTTGCATTAATCGGATCTTTCATAAAATTTATTATCAATACCGAAACACGTATGATATGAAACAATTCGATCGCATTAAACAGATAGAAAACAAGAATACAGTTTACATTTTCGCATACACTTACAACTAAAGAATGTTTCACTAAAGTGGACATATTCCTGACAACACTCGACTGCATTGTTACGATTCATAGATAATTTGAGGTTGTAGGAACTATAGTCGTTTTCGTATCTTTAACGTTTACAAGGAAAGTAATGAGCTAAACATTTTTATTTATTAAAATTATAACAATAACGTACCTGCAATATAAATGTGTAAACAGCACTAGTTCTAACAAAATATAAATCTTACAGTTGTCATCTAATCTGAAAAAAATACTATCGGCAAACTAATATATGTGTGGACTATACATTTATCAATTAATAAGTATTATCCAGTTAAACCATATGAACTTATTAGCTTGATGAAAGATTCATGTTTACAAGTCCAAACATAATTCTCTTGCGCAAGAAATAATTCAAAGTTGAGGATTTCAGCAAATAAAGCAAGGTTACGTTCGTTTCAAGAAGACATAAAACTGGCAGGTTATATGAAAGTTAGAATGGTTGCTTAACCTTTAATAAAAGTCTTTGGAATCAGATATTGAAATATATGGCAAAGATACTGAAGGCACAAGAAAAATCAGCAATGATGCTAATGCATATTAAATGGGATAAATAAAGAAATGTTGGAGAGTTTTAAATAAAAAGCATGTAAGGACACTTAACATATTGAGCGTAACTTTATAGATGTAATTGAAACCGTAAATGAAAATTTATGTAATGCAAACATATCTACACAAATTAGATCAGCTACGTTCAACAGTCAAATATAGGTTATATAGTTATGATTGCTTGTATATGTACATGTATATGGCAATATATAAGCTACTTGCTTGTAGTTATATTTAGCTGTTGAAAGTGTCACATCTACTCTGTGTAGCCTGGAAAGTGTTGCTAATGTCTAAATAATCAGATACAATTATTATCTAGTGTGAACAAGGTTCAAAGTAGACGCATGTAATTGAGTGTGTATTTCTATATTTTTGTAACTCATGGTTCATGAATATATATATATATATATATATATATATGTGTGTGTGTATATGTATATATATATATATATATATATATATATATATATATATATATATATATATATATGTGTGTGTGTATATGTATATATATATATGTATATATATATATATTATCTTTAGTTTTTATTCATGACTATAAGTTGTTCTGATCATCTGTAGTCAGTATATTAGATAGCTAAGTTTTTGTTGTACTCTTGTATAAAGTTCTATTTTAAGATCTTACGAGTAAAAATTGCTTATGATTTATAAATACATATTGTCAGGTTTCTAATGACTGTTTACAACTTTGGGGTAATGAGTCATTGACTAGAGGGTTTAGTTCTGGTGGGTTCTTAGAAGAATTGAGTTGTTTCCCACTGAATGAGGTAAGTCACTTGAATAGACAGTTTAAATATTAGGTTGAGTAGAAAGATCTGTAACATAAGGTACAATAGACACTCAAAGGTGTACATAAGGAGAAAACTGCATTCAAATTCATTCCCATTTCGGATTGATTCTCTCTATGGATTCTTATTTCATGTGTACTTATTGTAACATCAAGACGATATTATCTGAGAGAAAGCACATTTGTTTGTATTATTCTGTGGAAACTGAATGTGTTCATTAGCTTGTAAAAATTTTTTTGGACTAATGTGAACTTTTAAAAGTAGTTTTGACAGCGCCA